CTTGATGATGTGTCTTTGAGGTGAAAAGATACCTAAATTTGAAGCCTCTTGTTCATGTGGAGACTTATTCTTGTGTAGATGAAGTGTTGGTCCAGATTTGGCAAGTCTCCATGGAAGAAATTCAGCTCATATTCTCGGTCAAGGCATGACCGAGAATCATCCACGCCTTCATGCTTGTTTCATCGTTCTTGTTCGCATTTTGCTCGATCCAATGGGCCATGATGGACCTCACTTTGGCCTGCCATACTCGTGTCTTGGACCTCGTGAGTGGTGGTTCCGGCATAGGTGCAAAGATAACATCGCTTTTGTTGGTTTCTTCTTCCAAGCTCGGCTCCTCCTCTATGCGTGCCTCGCTCTAATCTGATCCTTGTTGCTCATCCTCGTCCATGTTTAGGTCGATGACCTCATCATTCCCTCCCGTTGAACAGGTTTTTCCCTCAAAACTGATTCACCTGCATCAAACGGAAGTAGATCAGTAACATTGAAAAGTAGAAGACACGTTATACTCACCGGGTAACTCCAAGCGGTAGGCATTGTCGTTGATTTTTTTGATGATCCGAAAAAGCCCATCTCCTCTTGGTGCTAGCTTCGAGCTCCTCTTGCGTGGGAATCTCTCGGACCTAAGGTGCAGCCATGCCCAATCTCCGACATCAAAGGTGGATGCACTCTAAGTATGTTTCGACGCACTCTAAACGTGTGTTGACGAACTGTAAACATCTTTTGTTGCACTCTAAACATGTTTCGACGCACTCTAAACATGTTAGGATGCACTCTAAACGTGCTTGGAGGCACTAGATATGTTTGGACGCACTCTAAACGTGTTTGGACACACTCTAAACATGGTTAGACGAACTCTAAACATATTTTGACGCACTCTAAATATGCTTTGACGCACTCTAAAAATGTTTCGATGCACTCTAAACATGTTGGATACACTCTAAAAGTGTTTGGACGCACTCTAAACGTGTTTGGACGCACTCTAAACATGTTTGGATGCACTCTAAGCATGTTTGGATGCACTCTAAACATGTTTCGACGCTCTAAAAATGTTTGGATGCTCTCTAAACATGTTTGAATGCACTCTAAGTATGTTTTGACGCACTCTAAACATGTTTTGATGCACTCTAAATGTATTTGGATGCACTCTAAACATGTTTTGGTGCCCTCAAAACATATTTAGACGAACTCTGAACATGTTTCGACGCACTCTAAATATGTTTCGACGCACTCTAAAAATGTTTTAATGCACTCTAAACATGTTTGTATGCACTCTTAATATGTTTCGACGCAGTTTAAACATGTTTGGATGCGCTATGAATATTTTTTGACGTGCTCTAAACAGGTTTCGACGAACTCTAAACATCTTTTCACTACAAAAAAACCTCAAATTCCAACCGGCAAATCCGTTGGAAAGGGCCGAAAATCCGTTGGAATTCAACTTTTCTACCGGATTTCCAACGGATATATCCGTTGGAATATCGTCGTTAGAAATCGGTGTCCGTTGGAATTCCGTGGCAAATTCCAAACGGAATTCCAACGCCCTCATCCGTTGGAATATTTCAACGGATTTTCAACGGTTTTTCCGTGGTATATTTTCAACGGAATTCCAACGGATTTGTTCGTCGGGATATATCAACGGAAATTCCAACGGACATCCGTGGCTATTTTCCGACGGGACCGTTAGAATATCCGTTAGAAATTTTCCAACAGATTTACAACGGTATTTGCCACGGATATCCGTTAGAATATCCGTTGGAAACGCCGTCGAAATGTTACAACGGTATTTACAACGGAAGTCCGTTGGAATTTAAAATTATTTCCAACGGCGGTCCGTTGGAATTGCCGTTGGAAAACACAAAAAAATAAATAAAAAAATAAAATAAATATTTAAAAATAAAATAAATAAAATATTTATTTTATTTTTAAAATATTTATTTTATTTTTTTATTTATATTTATATATATTATATATTAATAAATATATATTAATATATATATATATATAATAAAACCAAAATAAAATTAAAATATTAAAAAAACAATTGTTCGAATATTACAAAAATATAAAATA